ACCACATTGTCTACAGAGACCACATTGTCTACAGAGACCACTTTGTCTAAGATGATAATGTTATCAAAGAAGCATTATGGTTTAAAGACAACCATATTGTCCACAGAAACTGTATTAACAACATATATCACATTGTCAACGGGGACAGCATTATTTACATGAACCAAATTCGCCAACTGACAGCGTATTATGCAATCTCCAGAGTCAAATACTTTAAACAGTGGAAATAATACAAATTGTAATTATCATGCCTAATGACAGGTAGTAATTTCTCCACACGTGTAAGTATTGCTCGGGGAAATTGTTTTTGCTACTGTACGTGTGCTCATTATAGTATGTACACATTCATCAACCTTGGACATAGAACAAAAAAGACAGCAAGGTGTTAAAACTTTGATTATTACGGATTTATAATGGCGAATCTGGAAACGAACAATAAGATGGGCACTTTCTGTGCATTTACCCAAAATAAAACTTGTTTAGTCAACTGTCTGTGCCAACATATGCATTCAAACTCACACCCTGTCCAGTTCACTGTCTGTGCCAACACATGCTGTAGAACTCACACCCTGTTCAGTTCACTGTCTGTGCCAACACATTCAGTGGAACTCACACTCTGTCCAGTTCACTGTTTGTGCCAACACATGCAGTGGAACTCACACTCTGTCCAGTTCACTGTCTGTGCCAACACATGCAGTGAATCTCACATCCTGTCCAGTTCACTGACTGTTCCAACACATGCAGTGGACTCACACCCTGTCCAGTTCACTGTCTGTACAAACACATGCAGTGGATCTCATACCCTGTTCAGTTCACTATCTGTGTCTACACATGCAGTGAACTCACACCCTGCCCAGTCCACTGTCTGTGTCTACACATGCAATGGACTCACACCCTGTCCAGTTCACTGTCTGTACAAACACATGCAGTGGATCTCATACCCTGTTCAGTTCACTATCTGTGTCTACACATGCAGTGAACTCACATCAGGTCCAGTCCACTGTCTGTCTCAACACATGCAGTGGAACTAACACCCTGTCCACTTCACTATCTGTGTCTACAAATGCAATGGGCTCACACCTTGTCCAGTTCACTGTCTGTGTCAACACATGCAGTGGAACGCACACGCTGTCCAGTTCACTGTCTGTGCAAACACATGGAGTGGATCTCACACCCTGTCCAGTTCACTATCTGTGTCTACACATGCAATGGGCTCACACCTTGTCCAGTTCACTATATGTGTCAACACATGCAGTGAACTCACATCCTGTCCAGTTCATTATCTGTGTCTACACATGCAATGGACTCACACCCTGTGTCAACACATGCAGTGGATCTCACACCCTGTCCAGTTCATTATCTGTGTCTACACATGCAATGGACTCACACCCTGTCCAGTTCACTGTCTGTGTCAACACATGCAGTGGAACTCACACCCTGTCCAGTTCACTGTTTGTG